CGCCATTCTGACTTAATAGGTCGACAGTGCAATGATTAAAAAATTTTTTCTTCATCGATATTACGTAATTTTTTTTTCACATGACAAATCATGTGCGGTAATAAAATTAGAACATGTTAATAATTCAAAATTTACTAATAATCCCAGTTACTGTATATGGTCATGTATAATTAATTTTTTATGTGTACGATAACATGAATATTTTGCACGTATGACGTCATTAAAAAAAAACAATTATAAATCACGTTACGTTAGTTTTCGCTGTAGCGTAACATGACTTGTAGTCAGAGTTATGATTGCAAAAATAAAAGTCAGCCGGATGAAATATTAGCTAAAAGTATGAGCAAGTTTTGTGACAAACTAGAATCAATAGTAGTTATTGATAGTGATGACTCTGACCAATGTGAAGAAAAAAACCTCAAACCTGATACGTTGCTTAACCCTTCAAAAAACGTTGAGTCGCCTTTCCTGTGCTTAGTTTGTGGAGATGATATCTCGATTTATAGCTCTAAAGTGCGTGAATGGCATATAAACACTTGTCTTGATACTTTCGAAAATAAAGCGGAAGCGGTTGTCAAGACTAAAACGATAGAGAAAACTACCACGACGGAAAATTGCATCGATGAATTGATGAATAATATGAAAAAGTTTTATATGGTACGAACATATAACGTTTATCGGTTCTGTTTGAAATAACCTAACACTTCCAATTGATGATACTTCAATTTTAAGTATAGCTTATCTCATTTTCCCAACGAATTGAACCTAGAAGATGACTCATTAGACAAAAGCCTATCGGCCACAAAATTAGAAATTATGAGAGATTGCCGTCTCAAAGTAACGGAGATGGAAAAAAACTTTAAGAAAGATATCTTAATTATGATCAAAAGGCACAAAGACAAGGTACAATATTAAAAGAGGCGCACATTAAAAGAATTTGACGTGATATGAACTACTCATTTAAAAGATGTAATGTTTTTTTATTCCAAGATACAAAATTTATTGGATGAGCGAAACGTGAAAATCGAGAACTTGTTAAAATTTAAAGACAAAAAATGTTCCAGCGACCTAAATTTTTCAACAGAAAAGAAAATGAAGGATCACGAAAGATATCGCCCTCTCTCCGTAATTCCAAATAGACACTTTGCTTCTCAAAGTAATGACATTCGAAGTTGCCTGTCACCTAAACAGAAGGATACCTTAGACGATAATGAGTCATCTTCTAGGTTCAATTCGTTGGGA